AGTGATTAACCAAGAAAGCATGATTAATCATGGATTAAGGAAGAATTCCAAGACCTTAACTGAGGATTAAGGCTTGGTCAAACCAAAGTCAAAGGATTAGGAAAGGTATACAGAAGTTATAAATTGAAAGGCACAAGAGTAGTATTATATTGAGAAAGAATTTTATACTGGATATGGAATTTACCATACCCTTACTGTATGGTTGATAGGCAATTTTCTGGAAAACCTAGGAGGACCTCAAGCAAGGAAAACAAGGAGGAAACAGTAAGCGTGGAACTGAGGTAGCGTGAACTTGCAATTATTTTATTGACCTGCATTTGGTGTTTCTGCTATGTGTGTTTATGTGCCATGAGAATGTTTATGCACAGATGATGTGAACTCCTTGCAATGTATGCCTTGGCTCTTGCATGATTGAGTTTTGACTAGAATGATTATATGCTCCATGATATGATGACATGGATACAGAATGGTTATGGCATGGCATAAAGACGAGCAATGTTATTTTACTACATGTAGTATGACATCTTATGCATGTTGACCTGATGGTTGTATGTTCAATGCTACTGGGATTTCTATGAAATCTCATTCCTCCTATAACATGATATCCTAGGTGCCACTACTTCCAAGGAGAAGGGAAAAGAAGTAATCATGGCTTGAGGAAATTATGATCCATGTATTGTATTATATGGTTTTAAACCTTTCTCTTCCAAGCCATGTAAGCATATTTTGATCATGAACACATAACATGATACCCTTTTGGATGTATATTAATGTTAGAGTACCTTTATATGTGATTATGGTATGCTTATAGTGAAAAACGAAATGGTGCTAGAATTAGTGAAAAAGGGGGATAAAAATGGTCTAGATTTGACCAAACTTTGACCAATGAAGACCCTAGTCAAATGGTTGACTTTTTCCCTAAAATTTGGCATGCGAATAGATCTTATTTTTCCCTTTAAAATGAGTGGTAAAGTGTCACCATCGGAGCTCTGTGCAAGAAGTTATGCCTTTCCGAAGTTAGGCAAAAATCCTGGAAAATAGAAAAATGACCAAATGAACAGTACTTTTTGAAATTAAAATTGGATGCGTTTCTGATTAAAGAAGAACCTGAGGTCATTTTTCCTTGATAGATGATGTTAAGAGCTTCGTGTGAGACTTGGAACGACCTTGTTTCAATTTTTCTAGAATTAGTTATGATTTTCCAAAGTTATGCCAAGTTTAAGGTTACAGTGAATAGTAATGCGGGAAAAGAAATTTTTAAACTCAGATTTTTCAACCCGGTAACCTGAGATTGCGCTTTCGAATATCTTAACTTGGCATAATATAAGGTCACAAACGTAAGGTGTTACAGCCCCTGCAGCTGGTGTGTGAGCCCAAGAAGGCCAGGAAGATCAGGAAGCCCCTAAACCTGTTACCTTGGACACCCTAGCTGATGATATTGATGAGCTGACCGAGCATGTCCACCAGTTGCGCGTTACACTCCTCCAAGAGATGCAGAGGTAGAAGGACCGCGATGCTTTTTATTGTTATACCATACTATCGTATCATCTTAAGGTTCAATTAAAACCATTTTAGACCACATTGGATGGTCTTGGGCTTAATTTTATCCTTAAAACGCTGATTTTCGAATTTTTACTGTTTATTAGGTAAAAATCTAGTTTTCTGGTCCAACTTCAAAAAATCATAACTTAATCTAGAAAAATCAAAATAGAGTAGTTCAAAATTCTATAAAATTCTCTTTGAATTATCTTTCAAGGAAAAATAATCTTATGAATCAATTCCATTTGAAAAAGTGTCAGGTTTTCATGAAAGTCGCCTCTGTCCATTTGACAAAAATCCTTTCTCCAGATTCTGAACCTTAACTTTGAAAGATCATTAAAAATTGTGTAGTTGGTCATTTTTAACATATTAGCTATAAAAATGAAGCTCATAACATGAACTACAATCATACCAAATTTTATGATTAAAAGCATTCAGGAACATAGTCAAAATGTCACTTAAAGTTGGCAGTGTCAATAGGTTTATAGCACTGCCCAGCTGAATATTTACATAACCAAAAATCCATGAATTTTTATGGTTTTACACCATAATTCAACCTTTAATCTGTAGCTTTCCCTTGGAAGTTTCAGATCCTAAAATGTTAGATTACATTTGGGGGATGGGATTTCAATGAAATCCCAGTAGCAAGATCAATCAACCAAAACATCAACATGCATCATTATAAATCATTTCAACATTAGCTATCATAAGAGAACTAATCTTCTTATAAATAGGCAACCTCAACATGCAAGGCCATGGCAACAAATGCAAGGAGCAACCATATCACAAACATCATAGTTCAACCATATAATAGCAAGCATTCATGCCATAAATAACAATGCAAAGTTAACATTAATGGCTAATTAAATCCCACTACCTTGATCCAATGCTCTTTGATTTTCTTGTTCTTCTTTCTTGCTTCCACAAATACCAAACCCTAACATGGCAATTCACAAAAAGGGCAGCAAGAATCACTAACCAAACCATGGAAAAATAAAAACACAACTCAAGGACAACCCTTGTTCCTTAAAGCTTCCACCTTTGTTCGTTAAATTTTAGAATTTATTTCCCATAAACCCTAAAAATTCCCTCTCAGCTCATTCCTACATAATTTTTCATGTAGATTCTAAATATCTACTTGAATTTAAGAAAATAAAACTCCCTCTTCTAGTTTTAGCTTGGCCAAGCCATAGGGTTCATTTTCTAAAAATTACAACTTTGGCTTTAATGCTTCCAACCTTTGTTCTTTAAATATCCTGCACCATTTTCAATTTTGAACACAAAGGAAGCATTAGAACATTGAAAAATCATCCTAGGGTTCATTTCCTACCTTGCCTAAAATGGTCCTCATGCAACACAACAAAGACAATACTTTAAAAACAACCTGCAACCACTTGCAACCACTAGGATCTATCATGTTTTGAAGTGTTTTAGCATGTTGGACTAACAAAACTTCTTCCCTTCCCATAAACATGTTTTGGCCAGCACAAGAAAAAGGGGAGAACCATGAATTTCTAACCATACAACTCAAGTAAACAAAGCAAGGCACAACTTAAAACCAAAAACTAACCTTAAACCTTGCTTGGATGATCAAAGTTGATGGCTTTCTCTTGATTTCTCCTCCAAGTTCTCTCTTTTCTCTCTTACTCACTCTTGACCAAAGTAATAATCTAAAAATAGGGGTGGGAGAGCTCCTTTAATAAACCAAAAATATCCCAACCACCATCATAAATGAAGTTACAAGTGTCATTACCCCCTTTTGTCTTAGTTTCTCTTTCTTAATTAACTAATTCCAAAAGAATTTAATTACCAAAAGTCAAAATCCTCTCTATTTAAGGAGTAACACTTGGCAAATTCAAATTCTCTCTATTAGGGGCTTGACACATGGCCAAATATGAGTTATTTGAATTGCAAGACTCTAGTCTTGCTTTATCGGTGCCCTTTAACTCTGCGTTTAACTTCTTTTCTATAATTACAGTACTCTAGCCTCTATAATTATTTTTTATCAAGTCCATAATTTATTTTCCTTATTTTTATCTTCTCAAAATGCCCTCTTTGTTTCAGAATTGAATTTCCAATAATTAAATAAAAAGGAAGACTAATTTCCTTCTCTTTATTGATTTTTTCACTTTTCAAAGGAATGAGGAAAAATCTTGGATACTTGAGGATCTTCTTTTAATTCTATAGTCTCTTATAATTCTCTGGGATATCATAGGAATTTTTTTGAAATTTTTTCCTCCTTAAAAATATTTATTTGGAATTTTCCAAATAAAAGCCCTTAAATTAGGCTAAATTAACCTTAAATTCCTTTATAATTTCTCTAAGGTTAATTTGGTCATGAAACCAATTTTATAGTACCATGTAATTCTCAAAGGATATTATCCTTATTTTTTTCATAATTTTCCAAGACTTGGAAATATTTTTCCATAATTATTTTTGACCAATTTTACTTAATTAGTCAAATTTCCATAATTGGCATAGAAAATCATAATAATCATTTTCCACCAAAATTCTTCTATTTCGCCTTGTCATTTTTGGCCCATAATTATTTAGGAATATTTCTTATTCCTAATCACCCTATTGCCGGATGTGACATTTATGATTGAGACCGGCATTATCGCTATCGTGCGGATGCTTTGATCGCTGACCGGTTAAACTTCCTCCTACCTCTCGAGGAGGATGACCCTTAGAGCAGAGCTGAAACATCTAGAGTAGGCACTGCTAGGGTAGGACCATCTGGATCAGGAGTGGATGACGCTGGGATGCAGCAGTAGTTCTTCTTTATTTGCTTTGTTTCTTGTTTTTATTTCTGTTTGAGTCAATGTTGCTGGATACTTTTTAAGCTTTTCAGTGTTTTTGTTACTTTACACTTACCTTGTTGGAATGGATGCTGGTTTAATTGCTTGGCTACTGGTGGCCTTCTTACTTTGCTGTTATCTTTACAAGTACATTGAGCCCCTACTCTATTTTCACTTACCCTTTTTGTTTTTGAGGAAGAAGACGAGAATAATTCTATTTTATTGATCAATTACTGAAGGAGAGAGGTACAAAATATATAAAGCTAGGCTAGGGAGAAAGATAAATGATTAAATGATAAAAGGAATCTATCATAATCTATACTAATCAGGCTAGAATCACAATTAGTCTCATAGACTAAAAATACAGTGATAGAACTAAATGAAACACAGCTTATTGGGCTTGGGCTTTATCTTCCAACACTCCCCCTCAAGCTGTGAGTAGATGTCGATCAATCCCAGCTTGCTCCTATGTCCTTCAAACGAGTCTCTGGGTAACGGCTTAGTAAATAAATCTGCCACTTGATTCTTGGTTCGAACGTGAGTTAAATCAATGATACCTCCTTCTATTTTTTCCCTTATGAAGTGTCTGTCGATTTCAACATGTTTTGTCCTATCGTGGTGCACTGGATTTAGAGCCATTTCTATAGCTGATTTACTGTCACTTCAGAGTTTTATTGACCCAATATGCATCAGTCTCAGCTCTTTTAGAACTCTAATTATCCAGATTCCTTCGCAGACCCCAAGAGCCAGTGCCCTTAGTTCTGCCTCGGCACTGCTTCTGGAAACTACTGGTTGTTTCTTGCTTCTCGAGGTAACCATATTTCCCCATAAGTAAGTAATGTATCCAGTAATGGACCTCTTATCCTGTAAGGACCGCCCATGATCAGCATCCGTGTAGATTTCTATCTCTCTAGACTCTCCTTTCTTGAAGAATAAACCTTTTCTTGGATTTATCTTTAAATATTTCAAAATTCTGTACACCGCTTCCATATGTTGTTCTTGTGGTTGATTCATAAACTGGCTTACAACTCCCACAGCATAACTTATATCTGGTCGTGTATGAGCCAGATAAATAAGCTTTCCTACCAACCTTTGGTATCTTCTAGTGTCAACCGGTGTACCATCTTTCTTGTATTCTAAATTGCAGTTTGTCTCCATAGGGGTTTCTGCAGGTTTAGCTCCAAGCATTCCTGTTTCTTGCAACAAATCTAGTGTGTACTTTCTTTGAGAAACATTTATTCCTTGTTTGGTTCTACTAATCTCCATCCTAAGGAAATACCTCATCTATCCTAGATCTTTCATCTCGAACTCAGCTGCCAATGATTTCTTTAACTTTCTCACGGTACTTTCATCGTTTCCTGTAATCACAATATCGTCTACATACACTATTAAAATAGTGATTTGATCACCAACATGTTTTATAAAGAGCGTATGATCTGATTGCCCTTGTGAGTATCTCATTTTCTTCATTGTTGTTGAGAATCTTCCGAACTAAGCTCTAGGGGATTGTTTCAGTCTGTATAATGATTTCTAGAGTTTGCAGACCTTTGAGCAATTTGTTGAATTCTGGAGGCCGGCAGGTATCTTCATATATACTTCTTCTTTAAGATCTCCATTTAGAAAGGCATTTTTCACATCTAACTGATAAAGTGGCTAGTCTAAATTTGCTGCTACTGATAACAGGACCTTAATGGTGTTGAGCTTTGCTACCGGAGCAAAGGTTTCTTGATAGTCAACCCCATATGTTTGTGTATATCCTCAGGCCACAAGTCTCACTTTATATTTGTTTATGCTTCCATCTGGATTGTACTTGATGGTGAAAACCCACCGACATCCCACAGTCTTCTTTCCTGAGGGTAAATCAGTGATTTTCCATGTTTCATTCTGTTTCAATGCTTCCAACTCTTCATTGATAGCCTGTTTCCAATTAGAGTTACCTATAGCCTCTTGAAATGTCTTGGGTACTCTTTCACTAGACAAGTTTGCTACAAATATCTACATTCTAGAAGATAATCTGTCATAGGAAACAAATTTACTGATTGGATGCTGAGTACAGGATCTTACCCCTTTTCTGAGAGCAATTGGCCACCCAAGTTCTTCAGAATCTAACACCGGATTGGAGACTTGGTTATGCCTTGGAATGTGAGAGACTCTATTATTTTGCTGCTCTTCTGAGTCGACTTGTTCTTCTTCATTATCTGATTCAGTATTATACTCTAGTCCATCCCTGTGTTTACCTCAACATCATTTTCCACATGATTGTCTTCTTCAGTAAAGGAGGTTTGTGGGTTTGGATTTTCAGGTTCGGGTTGAGTAGAGGAATGTTGGTTTTCAGAAACTTGTGGGTTTAGATTTTCAGGTTCTGGTATGGCCTGGTTTGGTTCAGGGCTGTATGGGCTTGTTTGAACTAGGGTATCCAAAGTTAGCCATTCTTCTGAGTCATAATTCTCCCCCTGAATGGGTAACTTGGGATAGTAGGCATCTTCTTCTGAAAAAACGGCGTTCTTAGTGACATAAACTCTCCTTGTTGTAGGGCAATAACACTTATATCCTTTTTGGGTAGGGGAGTATCCGAGAAAAATGCATTTTAGAGCTCTTGAATCAAGTTTGTTACCATCATCTCGATGTATGTAAACTACACACCCAAATGCTTTCAAGGGAATGTTTGAAACCAAAGGTGAATTCAGGTAGGTTTCAAGGAGTTTTTGAATGGGAGTTTGGTAGTTGAGTACTTTTATGGGCATTATATTGATGAGGTAGGTTGATGCGAGAATAGCTTCTCCCCAAAATAGATTTAGAACATTCCTAGCAATCATAATGGCTCGGGTGACTTCTAGAAGATGTCGGTTTTTTCGTTCAGCTACTCCATTTTGTTGCGGGGTGTATGCACATGAGGTTTGATGGTGGATTCCTTGCTGATCAAGGAATTCCTTCAAGTTTGTGCTAAGGTACTCTCTTGCATTGTCACTTCTTAGTATCTTGATTGTCCCTTGGAATTGGGTTTTTACAAATGTGTGGAAACTTTTGAATATGTTGAAAATTTCTGATTTTTCTTTCATTAGGTATACCCAAGTCACTCTAGTGTGGTCATCAATAAAAGTAACAAACCATCTAGCGTTAGAGGTCGATTTAACTCTTGCTGGTCCCCAAATATCACTATGTATCAAGGTGAAGGGTGTTGTTGGTTTATAGGGTTGTAAGGGGTAAGAATTTCTTGTTTGTTTTGCAAGTTGGCAGGTTTCACAAAGAAAAGGAGCTGAACTTTTATTCAATAAATCTGGAAATAAATGTTTCATATAATCAAAATTGGGATGGCCTATCCTAGAGTGCCATAATAATACATCTTTATTTGAAGAATTTGAACTAAACAACGCCTTGCCCACTTGTTTGTTGGTGATCTTAGAGCCTTCAAGATAATAGAGTCCGTCCCATTCTTTAGCAATACCAATCCTCCTCCTCATTGTCAAATCCTGAAAAACGCAATTGGTATCATCAAAAAGCACTCTACAGTGATGATTTTTAGTTATTTTACTCACTGAGAGCAAATTACATGCAAGTGCCGGGATAAATAGAACATTCTTTAATTCTAAGTTATCTGAGATCTCAACACTTCCAACACCACATACTTTGGAGAAAAGTCCATTAGCAACTTTCACCTTAAGATTCTCATCACGACAATACTTTAGAATTTTGAACAGAACTTTGTTACCCGTCATATGATCTGTAGCTCCAGAGTCAACAATCCAAGTGTTATCACAGGTTACCATGGCATTTAAGGCTATAATGGAATTACCTGACTTTATCAAATTTGCTTTGGGGTTGGTGGTTGAGTTATTGTGTTTCTCTAGGATTCGTTTAAGCACTTGTAGCTCTTCTCGGCTAAGAGTTTCCCCATTCTCCTCATTCTCGCTAGTCGCAGCAACATAACCCCTACTCTCTGGTCTTCGTTTTTGTTTTAGATTTGCTGGCTTGCCATGTAGTTTCCAGCATATGTCCCTAGTGTGAACATTTTTGTTGCAATGATCACACCACCCTTTGGAGTTCTTCTTTCCTCTCTGTTCTGGTCCATTGTTGCCCTGTACTATCAACGCCGAACTCTCAGAGGGTGCAGATATACTCTGGCTAAGTTGCTTTCTACTTTCTTCACACCTAACCATGTTGAAAGTTTCAAATAGTGATGGCAGCGGTTTCATTCCCATGATTCTTCCTCTCACATCATCAAACATATCAATGAGACCGAGTAAGAACTCATAGGTTCTTTCTTTTTCAACCAGTTCCCTAAATAATTGGGCATCACTGCTACACTTCCATTCATGGACTTCAAACATGTCCAACTGCTGCCATAATTGTGTGAGAGCAGTATAATATTGTGTCGCGGTCATGTTTCCTTGTTTCATCTCTCTTTGTAATTTTTTGATTTGAAACAAAGCAGTAGTGTTCTCCATAGCAGAATATGTTCTTTTTGCAGCATCCCATATTTCCTTTGCTATCTTAGCAAGTAAATAGCCTTCGCTAATGTCTGTCGCCATGGAATTACATAACCAGGTCGTCACTAGATTGTTTTTAGCAAACCAAGTATCATACTTTGAGTCATCTGGACTTGGTTGTGGAGCCTCCCTAGTTATATATTTTTCCTTTCTTTTGCCTCGTAGGTACATAAGGACGCTTTGAGACCATTGTAAATAATTACTTCCGTTCAACTTGTGAGAGATTAGCATCTGCTGTGTTTCTGTGACCGTTCCGGATTCTATTCCCGTTGAAGGAGAAAAAGAGGGACCCGACATAGATGAAACTATCGTAGAAGAAGAAGGGGACGGTATAGTACCTGCCGTTAATGCTGAAGGTGAACGCCTCATTGTACCAAACAGAGGCAGGAACTCTCTAGACTCTATCTTTCGACTCCCTGTTTACGTCGGGTTCACCAGATTGCAGTGTGACAAATCAGGCCGGTCGTATTTGTTGTCTTCGGTGCGACAAATCACTCAATTAGAAGTACGATACCATGCGACTAGTAACGCCGTTCTTAGTCACGCTGAAAGTGGCGACTTTCACTCTCTCGCTGGTCAGTCTTAGTCGCGGTGGAGCCTGCGACTTTCACCCTCTCTCTCAGTCGCCTGCTCTGATACCATGAGGAAGAAGACGAGAATAATTCTATTTTATTGATCAATTACCGAAGAAGAGAGGTACAAAATATATAAAGCTAGGCTAGGGTGAAAGATAAATGACTAAATGATAAAAAGAATCTATCATAATCTATCCTAATCAGGCTAGAATCACAATTAGTCTCGTAAACTAAAAATACAGTGATAGAACTAAATAAAACACAGCTTATTGGGCTTGGGCTTTATCTTCCAACAGTTTTGCCTGCTACCTATCACCCTTCTGCCTCCTCTTTGTGAATTCGATGTGTTATGTTTCAATTTAAAATTGGAATTCACAACTTTCATTTCACTCATTGATTTATTTGCATGTACTGGTTTAAACATTAAGGACAATGTTGTGTTTAAGTAGGGAGGAGGGATCTCCATTTTGGATTTCAGCAAATGCTTCATCATGCATCTATTTTGACTTCTTAAGTGCTTTAGAACTAATCAATTGTGTGCATTTTTGAATTTTTTGAAGTTAATTTCCAGGGAAGTTTGAAAATTGCATTGCATTTTGTTTTTCTGCCAACCTTCACCGTGGCAAACTTTTAGTTCTACCACAGCGAAGTGCTTCTTTCTCATCCATTTCACTTCTTGGCCATACTTAGCCACGGCCAACTTATGGTTTCACCATGGCAAAGCAGGCCTATTGCTAGGTTTTTCCTCTCGGCCAATGTTCGCCGCAGCACACTTTTTCCTTCGCTGTGGCGAAGGCCCTAGATAAAAAAAAGGTATATATATAATAAAAAAACCCTAAATGCTTTGCAATTTCATTTTTCTCTCTTTAGCAATTCTTCTGGTTTAGATTCTTAATACTCTTGCATTTTTAAAAAATTATTGGAAAATTCAAATTACACTTGTGCTTTTAGAAAACTATCCATGCTTTTAAATGATGGTTGAACTTAGACTAGTCATTCCCCACTATTTTTGACAAAGAGTAAACGAGATTACACTTTGAAAATAGGATTATGCATTTTTAAACCTTGAGATTGATTAATTAAGGTACCAGCTTTGTTGCAAGGATATTTAGGCCTGGATTTGTTAAATTGTGTGAATCTATTTAGTTTCATATTTCTCTAGAGCTTGTTTTAATTCTTAATCGAAGATTGATGAATCAACATA